TACTTAACAAGTTTATCAAAATAATGACATAAATTTTAGTTTATCAAAACAAATCGCCATACATTCTGTACATACTTATTTCTATAATAAAAATATACACATTTGTGCTCACACAATTACATATTACATATATATACATTAATGTATATAAGTATAATATAGAGCCAATAAATGAAGCAATTTATATTAGATGTTGTTGAAAGTATTATTACTATCAAGTTATAACAAATAAAATATGAAACAAGTAAAAACGTTTCAGTCGGTATAAACCGATTGAATTATACCCTGCACTTTTCGTTATTGTGTAGCAATTACTTGAACCTCTGAAATCATTCTATAGAAACTTCTCGCACGTGTCTGACCTATAATTGGACATCCGACTGCCAAGTCGGATATTTATTTATAATATTTAATATTAACTTTTAACTTGACAAATATTTAAAATTAACTTTTGGAGTTGTATGGTAAGCACCTGAACCTGTCAAGCAATTCTACTAAAACTTCACAAATATATCTGATCTATAATCGGACACACAACTGCCAAGTTTCATGAATCTGACTTTATTATTTTTCCAAATATTAAGAATAAGCTTTTGGAGTTGTATGGCAAGTACCCGAACATGTCAAGCAATCGCACCAAAACTTTAGAAATATGTGTGACCTATAATTGGACACACGACTGCCAAGTCTAATGAATTTGACTTCATTATTTTTCCAAATATTTAAAATAAGCTTTTAGACTTGTATGGGAGCTACTCGAACCTGTCGAGCAATTCCACCAAAACTTCAGAAATATATTTGAGCCATAATTGGACACATGACTGCCAAGTTTCATGAATCTGACTTTATTATTTTTCCAAATATTTAAAATTAGCTTCTGGAGTTGTATGGCAGGTACCCGAACCTGTCAAGCGATTCCTCTAAAACTTCAGAAATATATTTGATCTATAATTGGACACATGACTGCCAAGTTTCATGAATCTGACTTTATTATTTTTCCGAATATAAAAAATTTGCTGTTGGAGTTGTATGGCAGCCACCCGAACCGGTGCAGCTATCCCATTATAATTTTTAGAGCATATGTAGAATGTAATTGGACACATGTATACAAAATTTTATATTTATAGCTTTATTAGTTTTTGAAATATTTAAAATAAACTCTTAGAGTTGTATGGCAGCTACCCGAACCCGTTGTCCGACTTAGTCCAATAACAATAGGGTTCGTCCTTGGCACAAAAGAAAAAACTTGTGAAAGTTTGGTGTCGATTGCATTATTCGTTTTTGAGTTATCGTGCGATCGGACGGACGGACGGACGGACGGACGGACATGTCTAAATCGACGCAGAATTTTACGCTGAGCAAGAATATATATATATGTCCATACCGCAGGTGACTCCTTCAAGTAGTTACAAACTCCATACCAAAGTTAATATACCCTTCACGAAGTGCAGGGTATAAAAATAAATAAAGAAAGGATAAGAAAAATAAAAAGAAAACGAAAACGAAAACTAAAAGGAGAAAAAGGAATAAAGAAATTTACCTTTCGCTTACAATTTTCGTTGTTTTGTTGTTGTTCTTCTTCTTAATATTTTGTACAACTCTTCTCTTATATGCGGGTGTACGGGCTCCCATATTTCATATATAAAAAATTTTACTTGTACAAGTACAAATTTTGTTCAACAATGATAAAATTTCCTTGAACAAAAATTACAAAAATAAAAAAAATAATTTTTATTTTTTTCCTTTTTTACCTTTGTATTATTATTCTTTATTACGTATTTAAATGAAAATGAAGTAAAACGAAAAAAAAAATAGAGTTGACAGTGTCAACTCTATGATACCCGTACGAATTTGTTATCCTATGAGCGAGTATGACAGACTATGACTTTAAGTTATTATTACCATATTAATTTATGCAAAATTTCAGTACTGTGTTTTCAATATTTTCTAAGATATGGCCAAAGTACTATTGAAGCTCTACGGCAGCTACAACAAGGAGTCAATTTCAACGTTTTTTATCACACATAGCAGCCCTAATAATACACCTGTTTTCACGAAATTTCTATATTATAACTCCAATAATTTCTGAGATAATGCCAAATAATTTTTAAAGTTGTATGGCAATTACCCGAACCAGTACCTCGATCACATCCAATTTAAAAAGGGTTCCTGAATTTACTATAATAAATCATCTAGGAAAATTTAGTGAATTTAACTCATTTATAGTTTTTGAGTTATCGTTTTAACGGACTGACGGACAGACGGACAAACCATTCTAAATCGACTCAAAAATCGACACTGATCAAAAACATATACTTGATTCCATATCTAACAGATCATTATTTCTTAGAGTTACAAACGGTAAGGCAAATTAAGTATACCCTTCGAACATACATTCGTACGGATATAAAAATTGTGTATGGAATTATTAATATTGATATTTCGTATATAATGTTTCAAGGTAGAGTTAATGTTTATTAAAATAAATGTTGAATTACTTATAAAAATTGAATAAATAAATGAATATTTTAAATGAAATTAATGAAAATTAAAAGTTATTTTTGTACCTATATTATCAAACAGAGAATTCATTTAACTCATGTTATCAGAATTTAAGACTTAAATTTTTCTCTTCCGAATTCAAATATCAACATTTGCCTTTCTAAGATAATGCCAATTAATTAACAGCCTTAAGTCCTTATTATAGTAAAAAACTGAATTGAGTTGCAGTCGAACCAAGGTATTCAATAAAAGTCCACGAAATTAATAGTTCTATAACACAAAATTAAGAGAAAATTGTCGAATTATAAAATTTAAGGTATCGGGAAAATGATTTTATAAAAGATTATGCTTTTAGACTTCAAGCCTACGAATCAAAAGCTTTCCTAACAAAAGTTGTTCAATACTTGAAGACCTTTTTAGTGATGACATTCCGTATTAATATATACAGATATTTAATGTATTCCTAAATACACTACTGAAACATTGTTAAATATTAATACAGAAATTTATCGTTCCGGTTAGTCGGTTTCACTTAAATGCAATACCTTAAATAATATGGCATAAATATAATAAAACACCGGAAACTTTACAGAGACGGGAATGTTATACAAGTAGGTTTTATATAAATCGTGACAAATTTATGATACCCTCTGTAGAATACATATTTATAGCGAAGGTTGTAAGAAATATATAATTATATATTTACAAATTTATTCCCAACTTTGTAACCAAACTTTGAAATATTTACAAAATAGTGTAATCAAATTTAGAATAATTCAATAAATTAGACACAATAAAATTTTAAGCCACCAACTTTCACAAAGATCACGTTACCATGGATAACTAACCGTCCACCGGGCTATCTCGAATTAGTTCAAATCACAAATTATCAATTTTTGATAAAGTACCATAACAAAGCTTATGACGTTTTTTTACTGTTCTGTTCAAATATTCTAAATATCCTTAAGTAAGTATAATTAATATATCCTTAAGTTAAAGGAACCAAAATTACATACATAATCATTTTATTATTATTATTCTTATTTTTTAAGTTTTCTTTTAATTTTATCTAATATTTTTTTTATTATTTTTATTACCTACATTGTTATTTATTTTCTTATTTTTTTCAAATTACATTTCATTTTTTTCAAACTTATAACTTTCATTTTTAGTTATTTTTTTTTCTTATAACATTTATTATAAATGTTTCTTCGCTCTCCCGCTGCCATCATTAGCTCACGCTCTTCTTTACTCTCCTTTCCTCATCATTCTTCATTTTTTCTATTCTTCACCTTTTCCTCTCTCTTCCTACCTTCCACTCTACCTTCACTTCTCCGTCTTCATCTTCAACTAAACTTTGTTTATATGCCCATGTTGTGGTATTGTTTGATATGGTGGTATGATACCGTAAAATAAAATATAAGTAATGACTTTCAAAGGATATCTAAATTGATTTTGTTATAATAATTCTTTTTTTCTCTTTTTATTGTTTTCTTATTATATTTTGTTTTTTTTTTTTATTATTTTATTACATTTTTGATTTTATTTTAATAGTTTTTATATTGGTATAGATATTTTTCAATATATACGATTTTCGATATATGTATATGTATTCTGTATAATATTAAAATTTCGTTTTGTATTGAATGCTTTCGGTGATTTTGGAAAGTTAATTTTGATGTGATCAGCACATAATCGATCACATTTTCCGAATAATATAAATTTCAGTAAGTCTTAAATTTTAACAACTTCCATTGATTATTTCCTTAGATATACTAGAAAACGTAAATTTGGTTCATAGTAAAGCTAGACCGGGATCACCTAGGAAATTAAGAAGCTAGTCATATTGCAAGGTATATAGTTGATATACGAAATTTCATAAAAATGCATAAATTACTATCCTACAATAATCAAAAATTCAAGATTTTCTGTTCAAATATAAAGTCTCTCCAAAACGAATTCCGAGGTTACACAATACGATACTACACAAAAATATACTGATAAACAAATCTATACCTTTCTGAAAATATTTTATTCGTATTTCCTTACTACTGGGAAATGAATTTTCGTTGAAAACTTCACATGTAAAATTCAATACCATATGAATACCTCCCTTATTGTATGCATGTAATACGGTCGGTAATAATATTAGAGTATTTTTCATATTTCGAAAGAAAGGATTGATTCTTTTTTAATTTTTTTTTTGTATTCAATATTCAGTAACTGTTCATAGTAAACGTACCAATAATTTCTTATTAAAATTTTTATTTTTAATTTTATTTAATTCAAATTCAATGTGAATTTAAATCAAATTAATAATTTTAATTAAAGATAAAAATTAAATTAAAATTGTGAATTAAAATATTGTGAATAATTAATAAAATAAACAAAAAATTTTGAATATTTTATAAAAATAAAAATTAATAAATTTTAAATTTCAATATAAAATTAATTTTAATTAAATTAATAAAAGAATTGGTATTATTAAATCATAAAATATGAAATCTTCTCATATATTTGTTAAGGGTAAATCAATGCCATTAATTGAAATTTTCGATACAAGACCAATTAAAACATCACGTAAAATTTATGATCCAAATTTTTTTAAAAAATCTAAAAAATATTATCATGAAATCGCTAATCATTATCGTGATTATAAAAACCAATCAAGAATGTACCGAAGACGTCGATTCCGTCGTAAATCAATTAATCCACCATTAAGAAAATTAATAGAATATAAAAATAATTATTATGAGAATTATCGGGAAGTAATGCAAATACCATCATCTTTGTATCCAAGGTAAAATAAGAAATTGCTAAAGAAAAATTTAATATTTAAAAAAGCAAAACCAATTAATTTTGAATTTTGCATTTTAGTGTATGTTTTAGTGAATGTGTTTTAGTTAAGTGACTTTCTAATTGCGAGTTAAAATTGAAAATATCAAAAACAAGTCATTAAGCATATAACAAAAAGATTTAGAAGTATGTTCTATTCGATTGATTCAATCAAACTTAAAGCTGATGGAACGAAAACTTCTTTTAAAGAATTCTTTAGATAACGATCCGGAATATTAAAATTAGAAGCCTTCAATTGAACTTAATTGATAATTGGTGTAATTTCATTTTGGCAACTCTTCAACCAAAATTATAGTCATTTCCCATCTTTTATGCTTTCCAAGTTATCTGGAAATTAAGAAAATTTTAAATTTCGACACTTTATATATCCGAAAAGACAAGCTTTTCCAAATATCTATAAAAGCGAAAAGTATAAATGTCTTGTAAAAATTGGAAATTTTTTGTCAACTAGTCTAATTAGGCGCCGAATTCGACGACTATGTTTAAGTTTCTTTTGATTTTTCATTTTTACTCATCCTTGATGTATGCAATGATTTTATATACATAATGCATGTACATATATTGTCATATTAGGGAAAAATTTAACTTGCTTAAAGGAAAAATGCTTGTTTACGAACCGAACCATTTGTGGCACTTTTTTTAATAAGTAAAATAAAAGATGTAAATTTACATTTTTTTCGATAACTTTTGACATTTATAATTTTTCTATTATTTTTGCTACTCCTAACTATATAGGATTTTTAGAAAAATTTATCATGAAATAATTTTTACCACAAAGTATTATAAAATTAGAATCTTATGAAAATAAATTCTTTGTTTACCAAAGATAATCCTTTATTTTAATTAGAGGCGTTACACGTCACGACTAAAACACGTAAATTACAAAAATTGAATTTTAGTCATAATTATTTTTTCTTTTTGTTTTTTTAAATGAACTTATGTAATATAATTTGCGTGCTTCTATTTAATTTTAATTTCAATGATTTTTTTCAATTAATTAAATTTGCGTTTTTCATTTAAAAATTTTTTTTTCCTAAAATTTTGTTCATTTTATTTAAAAAATAGTAAACAAGGAAAAAAATTCATATTTATTTCGTAGTTGTTTTTATTATTGGCAAATAGAAAATGTGCTGCGTTTTTCAAATTTGAAAATCTTCCGATTTAAAGTTTTCATTTCATATTACAAAACAATTTCGACTTTAATTACAAAATTTGTAAAATGAATTCAACTCAAACAAATTTTTAATTCGCCCTTAATCTTCGCATTTTATTAAACAAATTTATTAATATTAAAGGACTTTCAAAATTAGTTTAAAAAATTCCAAATTAGTTTAAGTTTAAAAATTTGTTGGCCACTTTAAATTTCAATTCCATAAAAAAATTAATGATGATGAAATTTTTCGGAGATTGTCTCGTAAATTGATTTTAAATTTAGCGACATTATAGCCTATGGTGGAACAAAAAAGTTTTTGATATAAAATTTTTCGCTATAATCGCAGCCTAGATAAAAAACCTGAAATCGAGAAAAATTTTTAATAATAAATTTCTTACATTCTTTAAAACTCATTATCTCTAAAAATTATTTAATCTAAGCCTTCAATCCAAAATGGATCAAATGTAAAACTGATGATTTTTTACTAAATGAGTTCAATTTAAAGTGGTAAAAGCAATGAATTTATCAACTAATAAAAGCACCATGAATACCAAACCAATTGCATACAAAAAGATTTTATATTTTATTTATATGACTCCTAATTTATGTACGTGTAATTTGCACAATTCAGAAATTTTAATTCGAAATTTCTATGATCTAAAATTCTTTGCTCTACATATTTTAACTTAATATTAGCTTACTTCTTTTTCTATTTATTTTTTGCAAATTTCTTGTAATACGTGTAAAAGTTGTAATACTAACTATGATTACCAACTCTATATACATACTCGTATATATAAGAATAATTTTATTTTTACATAGAAATGTTTATGCTATCAAAATTGAAATGCAAATCATATATTCTTGCACATATGTTAAAATTTCCTTAAAGAATAATTTCTTTGTCAATAAAATAAAACAAAAAACACCTGTTAAGTTTTCATATGAAAAATATTGCGACCTACTTTAAAGTCTTTCTAGTTAACAATTTGATTTTTATTTATATATAATATGCAATCATATATTTTTTATGAATTTCTATGAAAATATATTTATTGAAAGTAAAATATTGTTGAATTTTTTTTATATAAAAATTTAATATTACTTATATATTTTACATTTGCACACAAAAAATATACACATAATGTATGCAAAAGCAATGCAATACGCGAAAAGAAAATGAAATTTTATTATTTAGTTGAGTTTACGTTATGTAAAGGTAACAAGAACTCATAATGTTCCAAAATTAATTTTGATGACAATTATTAAAATTTTAGTTGTTAAACAGAGTTTATGTTATCGAAATCATGTTAATAAATAGCTAAATATCAAATAGATCTTAAAGAATTTGATAGGCATTAATAATTAATCAACTAATTTGAAATATTTCTGTTTTCTTCAATAATTATAATCGATAATAAAATGTCTTCATTACAAAAATCATTTACAATTAAATTGAATACCACCGTGACTTTAATAAATCTTATTAAAATAATGAATTTATTTAATTTTTTTCCAAATTCAAACTATTTTCTCGAGGCTAATTATTTTATAAATCAAAATTACACATACACAATAAAAACATTATAATAAAATAATTTTTTTCGTACATTCAAACCGTACGAATCATATACAGGAACAAGATTCTTCTCAAATTTACCTATGCGACATTTTATGTTAATATATTCTTAGTTGAAATCTCTATACTTAGCGTTAAGTATGAAAACGATTTTTAACCTTTTTGTAGCCCCAAACTTTGATATTTGTGACAGTCTATATTTAAAACTTAAGACTGTTATTTCTCAATCAGCATTTTCCAAATCTTATCATCGTAAACAGAAGAACATGGAACAAGGAATTTCAGCCTTGAGCAATTTCACGAAAACTATTAAGGTTTGTTGAAATAAATCAGACCATTTTACGAGTAGTAGAATAATGGCAATTATCTTAAACTTATAATTCCTTTAGTGTCATACAAATTATTTAAAAAAGGTTTGTATGAACTTTTTGGAAAATATAAAATTTTTCGATTTTTTATCATTGCTATCCATAAATTGTTCCGGTATTTTTGCGCAAGGAAAATACTATAATATTTCAAAAAGAAATTATAAGAATTTTTTTATATTAATTTTTTTAAAAAACTAATAATTTTAAATTCAAAAGTTACAATGCAATAAATTTTAAAATTCTTAAATATTTTGTTAAACTTGGGATTTTTGAATTTGTAAAAGTAAGCAACAAAATTCTTAAACATATGAAAAATCTAATTATTTTCAACTTTATTAACTTATACCGTCTATACTAAATCCTGAATTGAACTTTACTTTATATAGAAACAACACCAATATATTCCGAGATTTAAAACCTTTACTTTTTCTTTATATAAACAAATTTTGCATATATCTTACTTTTAAATGATACTTTCATACATATTTTCAAAATTCAATCATTAAATAAACAAACACACGAACGCATATAATGTAAAAATTTTGAAAATAAAACTATCAATCACGAATTCATCTAGTATTTATAAAACGGGGAAAAAATGTAATGAAAATATTAAACCGTTTAATGTTCCATTGAATTTTTAACATTCTTCTACATTATTAACCTTAAAATCATTTAAAATAATGTTAGACATTTTACCTATAAATGTATTTACCTATTTATATTATTGTTAATATCCTTAATATTTCCATCATTTAAAAAATTATGTGTTTATAACTTCCGAAATTATTTTATTAATATTTCAACGCTTTTTAGGTTTTTAACGTTAACATAACACGTCAACATCATCCGTTAAATAATTATTTTATTATACTATCAATTATTAACACTTTTTTTTTATTAATTAGTCACGCAAAATTTTTTTTGTAATAATAATTGGAAACTTGTCTTCGGACTGTCAGAACTAATTTGATATTATTATCAAATATACATAAATGTTAAATTAAAATATATTAGTATATATGTATGTACACATATTTATTACACGGATTACAAGTACCTATATAAGTATAATTTTCAATGGGGTGAAATTTTCAATTGGATTAATGGGGTGAATAACATATCAGAATATGAAGTATTTCATGATAAAGAATTATTTGACAGTTAAATATCGGAATATAATGTTAAAATTACAATGTTATTACACCAATCAATTAATATCTATATATATATCTTGTTAATTCAAGGCGTTGATTTCAAAATTGTTTAACTAATAAATATTATATTGCATAATTTTAGGATTTTGAATTCAAATTATGTATATGAACATAGTTAGGATATTCAAATTAAATTAAAATAAAATTAAAAACTGTTTAATTAATAGATAAAAAGAAATTTTCAATTAATAATTACATTTAATTTAATTTGCGACATCGAAAGTCCAAAACTGTTACGAGAAAAGTCGAAAATTGTTTCCAAAAACAGAATTTCTATTAAATATAAATATGTGTTAAAATTTTTTACTATAAATTTTCTTGAAATTTAGAAGAAATATTTATGAAAAATTTTCACTATATTTTGCCATTTTTTTACTATATTAAGCAAACAGCTACACGAAATTCTTCTACAGAACAATATTTTACCCCAAAAAAACAAAATGGTTAAACGATAAAGCACAAAAATATTAAAAACTCATCATCAAAATCTCAACAAATTTTTATTTTTTAAATTAATTTGACATTTTAATCAAAACAATATCACAATTACTTTAAAAATAAGTTACACTTTATTAAAATATTCATCAAAATTGTGTAAACACTTGACAAACGTCATCGCTATCCTAACAAAAAATTTTATTATTCCAAAATTTCCATTTACAATTCTCAATATTTAAAATTGACGTCAATTTTCAATAAATTCCGGTACAATAATTATAACCTTTTAAATTATATAATTTTTTTGTATCAATTCAAATCAATTTTCAGTTTTATGAGACAAAAAAAAAAAAAAAAAAAAAAATTAAACCAATAGAATAAAAATTTATTTTTAAATCATGTGCATTATAAATGATCAATTTTTTGTTTTGTGTTCCTCCTCTTCACCAAATTTATAACAATGAATTTTGAAAATTTGAGATCCTAAATAAACATTGAATGAGTATGTTATGTATAAGTATGTATGTTATGTTGTTGAAAAACCAATTTTCAAAACCAATATAATTGATAGCAATTTCTTTTTCTATACTATTTTCAATATCTGTTTTTCTCGTTCTCTTCTCCCTTTTTTTTTTTTATTTTTCTTCAATTTTTTCAGATTTACAGAAGTCTTTCCATTGTGTGGCCGTAAGACATTATGCGAAGAAATCAATTTAATAACTTCAAATAATAAAATTTATAATGATACAATCCAACGTATCAATAATATTGAATCAATTGATGATATAAAACGTTTAATTGAACGACAAGAATATATTTGGTCACGACAAAATTCTATTAAATGCTATAATAAAATAATAAAAAAGAATAATAATAATAAAAATTTAAATGATTTAAATTATGAATTTAATATAAAAGAAAATTATCATCATAAATCTTCATCAATTATAAGACCAAAATTAACAACATCACCACAATCAATAACAGAAACACAAGAAGAAATAAAAACAAAAGCCGAAGGAACAATAACACCAATTAAAATAAGTAAAAATTCTTCAACAAATATTGTAAAATTTAATACAGTTTCAAAATATAACAGAATAGAAGAAAATTTTAAAAGTAATAATAATTATAATTATAATAATAATAATATTAAACAATATAATAATTGGGAACAAACAAAACAACAATATAAACAAAATCAACAGCAGCAACATAAACAATATCAATATCAACAAAAAAAACAAAAACAACAACAACATATTATTAAAAATTTAAATAAAAATCCAATTATTCCAGATTACACTAGTTATAGTAATATTAATAATACTAGACCATTAACTGTTATCGAAGTAAAAAATCCATATTTATTAGATTTTACAACCATTTTAGATAATTACAATATACTTTATGATAATTTAAATAATAATATTAATTATTATTCATATAAAAATACAAATAACAATAAAATTGGTTGCAATAAAAATAAAATTATTTTAAATACAATATCATTACCAGTTAAACAAAATTTTGAAATACGTCATAGTCTTGGCTATATTAAATCTGAAGGGAAACGTTTACAAACTTTTGATAATTTAAATAAAATTAAAATAAAAGAAAAACAACAACAAAATATAATTAATCAGAATAATAATAATAATTATAAGACAACGAAAAATATAATACCAAATGCAACAAAAAATTATAATACTATCGTTACAAATATAAGCAACAGTAATAGTACAAGTAAAGAGACTAAAATTAAAAATAATAAATATGATAAATCATTAATCACTTCATTAAAATGTCAAAAGCAAAATCATCAGCACCATCTATATTACAACAATAATAATATTGAAAGTAATGAAAACTTTCATAACAGTAATATACGAATACGACCCACCAATAATATCATAAACAGCAATAATAATAATAATAATAATAATATAAGAAAAAAAATTAAATATAAAAAAATTCTACATTACCCTCCATACTTTAACAATAAAAATAAAACAGCAATACAATTAAAAACAAATAAAAAATATAATAATAGAAAAACAACAATAACAAAAACAATATTTAAAAATCATAATAAAAATAAAAATTATATTTGTTATTATTGTAAAGGCATTTGTAATAGTAATACTGATACTAGTAGTAGTAGCAACAATAATAATACTAAAATTCTAAATAAAATAAAAAATAAATGTAAAAATTCTTATTGTTGGAAAAAACTTGAAGACGATTTAATTCAATTGGCTTCAGATTGTTACGATGAAGGGTTTCAGTCACATTTACATTATTTAGAATCGATAAATGAAAAAAATGCATTAAATCAAAAAATACGTCAACACCACCATATTGATAATATAAAGCAAGAGAAATTAATTCAACAACAAGAATTATTTAAAAAATATAAATTACAATTACAACAAGAACATCAAAAACACCAACAACAACATTATCAACATCAACAACAACAATTACCGCAACTACAACAACAACAAATTATAATAAAAGAAGTACAAAAAGGAGAACCAGAAGAAGAAGAAGAAGAAATAGAAGGAGAAATAAAATTAGAATTATTGCAACAAGAACAGCAAAAATATTTTAATGAAAGTGATTTTTCAGCAGCAACTAGTTTAAATTGTAGTCGACCAGAGAGTGGTAATATAATATTTATTAATAACGGTAAATCTAATAATATAATCAATAGTAATAATAACAGTAATAATACGATAAATTGTAATGAAAATTATTCAATAATACGGAATATCAATGATAATAACGGTAAGATATTTAGTAAAAGAAAATAATAATAAAATTTAATAAAATATTTTTTAATAGAAAATATTTTGTAATGAAAAATAAAATTTATTTAATTGTTTTTTTTTTTGTTAATTTTAAAATGCAATATTATTCTAAATTTTCAATAATGTCTTTAAAAAATAATTATTGTTGCTATAAACTTAATGTGAATCCTTACAACAGAAAATATTGGACTTATTCACAATCGTATATGTTTGTATATTTTAAACTAGAAATTAATTCAAAATTAAATGCGTATTATCAATTAAATGAAAATTTAATTGAATATTTTGTTATACAAAATTTATCAATAAATTTGTTATACAAAGTTAAACAAAAATATTCAGCAAATGAATTGCAAAAATAACTAAGTAATAAGTGATATACGTGTGAAAATAAATACATGTAAATTCTTCATCATAATGGAAAATTTAGGCTTAAAATTTGCCATTCAAAACCCATAATATTAACTAAATTTTAGATGCTTTGACTCTCTTCAAATATTAACAATCAAATCTGTTTTTATTTGGCTTGGATACAAGAATAACAATGAGTTATAAGAAAAATTAATACATTGCAGTTAATTATTAATCGTTATCTTATGTTTTGATAACTACGAATTCAAAAATGGTTTAAAACTGGCTGCAGCCAATCCTTTTATATGTACAGGTTTATAATGTTCAAATAAGAATTTAGTTTATTGTGAAATTTCGTTTTTGACGCCCCTAGTGTTGATGCGAACTGCAACGGTTACCTATTTAATTACGATAAAGATTATAATTGAAATTTAATGTTTTATTGTGCATTGTTGCATTGCGAAAATGATACACAAAATGGTTGTTTTAAAAATTAGTAAAAATATTTATTATGCATTGATTCACACAAAGTAGCTAGAAATTCCTTAACTGCTTCAGTAAACAACTGTCGGCCATATAGAACTTTTAAATGTATTCACAGCAAATCATTATTTCAATTGCCCTGTATTTAATAAAAAAATGCTACTTATAACGTCTTCGATAATATAGATTAACACATATCTAAAGAGGTCACGAATTTCATCAATGACTTTTAGTCATTACTGTTATTTTCGGTTTTTAATTCATTTAACTAAGCTATAAAATGGTAAAAAAAAAATGCAATTAAGCGTAATAATTGTGTATTTTTTTTTGCAAGGTAACGCATTTAAATTTAATCTGACATGTTCTTCATTAATTTGTTGTAAACACTTAAATGTAACCCCTAGAAATATGCAACAAACCTAATTAGATACAGAAAAGAATAAATCGATCAAAAATTGATTGATAAAAAATTGACGATTTCTTCATTTTCATTTTTATTTCTTAATCCATAATACTTTTTCATCAAGCAAGTATATTTTATAACTGTAATTTAAACATATACTTATAAAAAAAGGATTAATAAACTTACACACACACTCAATATTTCAATTTCAAACCAAATGATATTGAAACCGTTTTGTTATAAAATTGAAATAATCGTCAAATATTCATAAGGACGTTGTGTTCAACCAAGCGAATCAATTACGTTTTTATATAGTTATTTTGTATCATTTAATGGGCATACAAAAATATCTATATTTTTGAATTAACATTCGTACTTAATAGAAATGTTTCTTTCAACTACTTAAAATTTGAATAAATACATAATCTCTTAATTAAATTGACTTACATTTGAATTTTTTGTATTTACGAGTAAAAACTAACAACTATGTATGTATGTATTTCAAAAGGGGGGTTTTAATTTACAAATGTAAGGGGATAAAAAGTTTTCATTAAAAATTAGAAAATGCTATCGTTTATAATAAGAATTTTAGATTACTTGCCTTAGTATTTTCCATTGTAAATACCTACACATAAACATACATTGAATTATTAAGTTAATAACTATATACTGAATGAATACTATTAAATTTTTTCTAAAAGTAATCCAAGATTAAGGTTTCATTTAAAAATAATAACTGAAGACGAAATAAACAACTTTTTTTATTATAATTAAATTTCAATGCCGGCATTTTAATGTTTAAGTATAGTAAAAAAAATTCTGTTCTGTATTAATTTTTATTCCTCTTTTGAAATTTGGCGACTACTTATCATTTTTACATCGGCATTTTTCAAATAAAACAAAAGAATAATATTGTTATAAAATTTAATAGGATTTAGAATTTAATACGAGAAATTTACACTTTCAAGTATTTTTTAAAGAAGAAAATTTATAAACAGTATTGAATTTTAAAAGAAAATGTTGCCATATTCATAATAAAATTGCCATATAGTTTGAAATATCTTGTCTAGGCTCTGCCCTTTCCTAGAAGATATTTATTTTTAAAAACGGTAAAAATAATATGTTAAAACTGTAGGAACTTAAATTTAGGTAATATTTTTAAAAAGTTTGGGTTTTATTAGTTGCTGTTTTATTAATTACCATCTGGATAACTTAAAACAAGCCAGATGGAAAAGTACATACTGTGTTACTGTCGTCGTATTTTTACTATATTTATTACATTGTGATATTTGTAATACTACTATTGATTAATTTATGCAATTTACAAGATTTACAAAATTAGAATTATTAAAATTTCGATATCAAAAATACCAGCCTAATTATATGCAAAAAAATAAAATAAAATTCAATAAACTGTTATACGAACTGTTATACGTGCTATAGTGTTGAAATATTCAAAAATAATTTAAGAAAAATTATGAATCAAAATAAAAATTGTCATTTTAAACTAATTTTAAATATCAAAATAGAACCATAAAATAATCAAATTGGAGCTATAAATTATTTATTTATTGATTTTTTCTAAAATTAAAGCACATGTTGTGCACAGATATTTTAGTTCATTCATAAATTAATATTATTTTATTTTAATAAATTAACTTTGTTATTTATTTAATTATTTATTTTAATTTATTTTTCAGACAAAAAATTATATACAGCTATAAAACGTATAATTCAGATACAAAAACCATTTACTGATAATAATAATAAACGTTATAAACGTCCTCAACAATATTCCGGATATAATGATGCTAAAAAAACAATATCAAATTCATCAATATCAAATGAACGTCAAATACGTATAGACATAAATACAACAAAAAATTCTCGTAATATAAACAATAATAATAATAACAATAATAATAATAATAGTAATAATAATAAAATAAATTTAATTAACGAAAATATTAACATAAACAATAATAATAACAATAATAAAAATTTTAATCAATTAAATGTTAATAATCTTGATGAATTATTAACAATTACAACACCTAACGTTCAAAGAAATCCAGAATTAATAATAACAAATAATTTTAATCAACAAAATAAAATAACAATACCAACATCAACATTTTGTCGAATGACAAATAGTATGAGTGAATATTTATCATTAAATGGTACAACAGCAACAAATATTGAACAATTAAATAATTTTAATAATTTAAGTGATTTAACAAATTTTAAAAGCAATAATATTATTAAAATAATACCAAATACAAATAATTCTTTACAAAATCAAAATCAAACAATAATATTTGAAGAATTAAATAATTGTTGTTGTAATAATATTATTAATTCAACAATAATTAATAGTAATAGTAACGATAATAATTATATTAATAATTGTAATAATTTAATATTTAATAATACAATACAAATATCAACAGATCAGATAACATCAAATATATTAACAAATACAACATCAGATACAACAGCAACAACATCAACAAATATATTACCATCATTATTAAATAATTGTAATTGTCAAACAATAAAAATTGATAAACAACAACAACAACAACAATATCAATTACATCAACAACAAAATCAATCATCAAATAATGTTAATGATCTTATAAATACATTACGTCATTTAGATATCAATGATATTAATAATACAATATTGCCTAAAATAATATTAACTGATTTTTCATCACATGAAACATCATCAAATTCAACACCAATTATAACGCCATCTAGTACTACCAATAATTGTAATAATTCATATGATATCGGTGCTAAAAATATACATCATCAACAAATTCAACAAAATCATCAATATTTCAATTTTGATTTAAATGATATTAATAAACATTTAAATATACCGAATGATTTAAATTATTGTAGTGAAGCAAGACCACCATAAATTAATTTATAAATTTAAAAAAAATAAAAAGTCAGAACTGTCAAAAAAGTCTTTAAATAAATATTTATTTTAAATCATAAATGTCTAAAAAGAAATATTAAATTTTCAATTTTTATTGTGTTTCTTCAATTTTTAAATGGTCTAATTGAACTTAATTCACCACGACTTAAACTAAAAATATAAAGTGTAAAAAAACGTAACTTAAATCGATGACAATTAATGCTGTCATTACAAAGTAAAACAAGAATTAATAATCGATTTTTTAAATTTTTATTTATTTAGTCGAATTTTACTTTGTTTTGTTAATTTTTCTTCGAAATAATTTCAAATACAAATTTTATAAAGAGAATTCTTTCATTTTTATATATTATTAATTATTTCATTTAATTAATTAAACTAAAAAAGAACAAAAATTTAATTTGTTATTATTTAAAATAAAAAAAAAGTTAAACGATAAAATATTTTTTTTTTGGTTAATTAAAACATGGTTTCAATATCCGAAACTACTGATAACCAATCTCATCAAAATCAACATAACATTCAACAACAACAACAACCATCACAACAGCAACAACAACAACAACATCATCATCATCAACAACAACAGCTAACACAAAAACAACAAGAACAACAAGAACAATTAATTAAATCAATTCAACTTTATCATAATCAACATAATAAAACAATGTCAACAAAACCAACATTAGAAGAAAATCAAACGGCAACACTTATAACAAGTAATGAAAATAATAATAAAAGTGTAGCAATAACAAATATTACAGCTGAAATAAATAATAAACAATTGCCAACAACAAAAACAACAATAAAATATGAAGAAGAAAAAATAACAACAATAAATAAAACGGTACAAAAACCACCAAAAAGTGCTGTTAGTGAACGTTCAATTGAAATTGAAATTGATAAAACGGCAATCACTACAAATATAAAACCAAGAAATTTAAAATTAGATTTAATAACGAGTAAAAGCGAAGATATTAAATCACCGAAAACACCAAAAACACCAAAATCACCATTATCAGCAGCTGGTAAATATTATAAATTTGAAGAAGAAAAAATTATTAATTTTGATATTTTAATATATTTTTTTCTTTGTAGGCCGTCTATCCCATCAGACTTCTTTATCATCGCAAATAGATGTTGTTGAAGATCGAAAAACTGTAAGTTACAAATGTGAATAACTGTAAAATAAATAAAATTTAATAATTAATAACTGTCACAACCGAAACTATTTTAGGAAATAGGGACTGTGAAAGGCAAATTATTTTCTTTTTTACTTTCTTTATTGAAAGTTGCTATGTTAGGCTTAATGGTACTTTTACAAATTTGCTGGAAAGGCAATACGATATGCTATTTAACAAGCACACAAAAAGCTTCATAGTAGTTTTAGTTTAGTCATCTCAGCCATTCAAAAAAATTAATTTTTAAAAATTTTTCACATTTACCTTTTCAATAAAAGCATTTTTAAGGTGATGCAACATTGCAGCTTTTCGTGATTTGTCAAACAGAAATTTGAATATTTTTAATAATGGAAAATTTAAATAATATTATATTAATTTTAATTTGAATTCTTTATCGTCTTATTTCTATCCAATCGAAATTTAATCATTCCGAAACTATAAGTAAGAGTAAAACTTTACTAAGAACACATTTAATTTTTTCGACTTTGTCATATTTTCCATTAAAATCACAGAAATCTAATTAATAATTAGATTTTTTAACTACAATAAATTAGAGATATAATTATAATTAGTAACAATTTTAAAAAATTTTATTATAATATATTAAATTAATTTTTTTTACATCTTTATTTTCAATTTAAATATAAAAATTATGAATAAAGCTTCGTGATGCTCTTTATCAAGGAATATTTCATCGTCATCGTAAAACGATATTCGCAATGGGCAGTTTCTTAAGAATGTTACGAAGTCGAAATTCTCAATATAATACAATAAGAAGTTCATCAGAAGGTGAGGATATTGATGATGCCAGATAAAAAATCACTAGATTGTTATTTTTTTATATTGACATATTATATGTATATATATTATATATATTTTATTTTTTCATTAATATTTTATAATATTATAATTATTATATTATATTTTTACTCATTATTTTACTTCTTAATTTGTTTTTTATTAACTACATTATATATATATATATTCTTATTAACCCAATAAAATATACACATATACATATGTCCATTTAAATATATGTATACTCTTATACAGTACTGTTCTACTGTTATATAATTCTATTTTTTCTAAAATATTAAAATTTTAATATATAGGGTTATTATGGTTATAAATAATATTATTGTCCGGGAGTAAATAAAATTATTTCGAAAGACATTTCAAAATTATAGGCGAATGGAAATTATATGTGGCTAGAAGTAATTTTCAAAACTTTATGTTTGTTTTGATTTGATGTCTCGTATTGTTTTAAAGCTGTATGAAGACTAATCTAAAAGAGAGGTAAACAATTTATAGGTAAATTTAATTAAAAAAAATTTTGAAAAATTAAATTCGAACTCAATTAAAATACATTAAAGGAAATATTGGCGAAATTTGCTTTGCAATTAAAAACTTTGAGATTTGCAATGTTCCTTCTGAGAATTCCAATAGATTTGATTGATCCTCTATATATCTTCGTATTCTCATTCCAATATTTGCATTTTCGTCGTCCTTTCCTACTACTACCGCTGTACTTATCATTCTAAAATAAATTGGAACTCAATGAAAACATTATTTCATCAATTTCATATAAATTATAAATGTTAAAATATCAATTAAACTTGGTGTATTAAAATGTATATATTGTTATAACAAATATACACTCATTTCGTTTCCTTTTTTAATAATTTCAAATGTAATTTTTTTGAAATCTCGATAGCAACGATGATTTTTTCCTTGCGAGATAAAATTTTGCGAGCCATAATCTAATTTTGGCGAATATTCAAGTAAGTTCTTTACGAACCATAATAATCACTAATAATTCTAAGAATATAAAACAAATTATTCGTATAATTTATTAAATTTTTTTTTATTTCTTTAAAATTATATTTATTAAATATATTTAATTATTATATCTATTTATATGTACATATGTATATGTATATTATAACAAAAAAAAAATATATATATATTTAACAAAGTAGATTTTATTAATTAACATTTTTTATACACAAAAATTTATTCAATAATTAATTATAGAATATAACATTGATATAATCAAATATTAGTTATAAATTATATTTTTTAATAAATTGAATCAAAAATAAAAATTTATAAAATTAAAAAAAAACAATTAGAAGATTTATATAAAATTTAAAATTTAATAAGAGAAAAAACAAAATATGATTTGAAAATTAATTAAAATTTAAATTTAAAAATTAATTTGAAATTTATTTAACAAAAAAAAAACCAATTAATATCTCCTATTTCTCTATGTATTACAAAAATTTTAAATTTATATAATTAAAAAAATAAATTAGAATTTTAAATTATTTATAAGTTAATAAATTTTTTTTAATCTCAGTTTTATTTCTTTTAACATTTTCAATACACACATACAAATAACATCGATTATTATTGAATATTTTTAATTAAATATTAAAATAAAACAATTTAAATGAAATTTAAATTAAATTTATTTTTGATTTCAAAATAAAAAACCAATTTATGAATACAATTTCTTTGAAATTAAATTTCATCTCATTTTTTTATAATTAATCATATCTATAATGAATTTGAAAATAAATGAAATCAAAGTGGAACAATCATAATAAAATTATAATATATAAAATTAACAAATTATTAAGATTTAAAAAAAATGAAAAAAATTTAATATTTACATAAAATGTTTATTAAATTAAAAAAACAAAAAAAAAAGTTTTAAACATAAATTAATGAATTTATAAATTAAATTAAATATCACATACATATATAATTAAATAAAATAATATAACACAAAAAAAAAATGGCTGATCCTATATAATAGTTCAATAAAAAATTAAATTTTTATTTTTTAAAATATAATATTAAATAAAACAGAATATTCAGTACCCTATAGTATATATACAAAACAGCTCAAGAGTTGGGATATTTGGTCGAGTAACTGTTTTATGGCAAATTTTAAAAATTTGGTAGTTCAAAAGTGATTTAACCTATTCAACGTGTAATGGGTAGGTGTTTCAGATGTTTATCGCTCATAGTAAATACATAGAACGAGATAGGAACTTCAAACTAGTATAACAAAACTATTTTGTCTAATAATTTTGAAGTTTAACATTCCATTACAGAAAGTTCAGACGGTTAATACAATCACATAAAAGCGGAATTCTAGTGTTATTACTTCTTTTTAGCACTTTTCCAAAAATTTTTTTGAAAAAAGTGCTTATTAGTTTCACTCTGTCCGTCCGTCCGTCCGTCCGTCTGTCTGTCCGTGTGTCTGTTTACAAAACTTCTACACCTTTGAAGATAGAAAGCTGAAATTTAATACGTACATAGATCTTTACTAGAAACTTATTTCCGTAGAACAAAATTTTTAGCTATCTCCCCCCCTCTAGAAGTTATACCCCCCCAAAACCCTAAAAATGGCCTTTTTTAAATATTTGTTGCAATGAAACCATAAGCATTTTTGAAATTTTGCAAACGCAGAAAGGCAGTGGCTTGCTTCCCCTTACGCGGTATACTATAGCTCAACTTAAGAAAAACAAAATGACCGCTCAAATTTACCGTTATTTAAAGTCCTTTTTTTCCAAATTTTTGATGTCGTTTTTCTTCTAGACCCCAGACTGTAGAAGCTTGAAATTTTAGGAGCTTTTAGATATTAATAAATAGTTCATTTTGTTAGAAGAAAATTTTTTTCTATCTCCACCCCCTCTCAAGTTAGCACCTCTTGAAATTCGTAAAATTTGAATTTTTGACACCTTATATTTCCGAAACCGCAAGCTTTTCCAAATTTTTATAAACGCAAAAAGCTAACGGTAAATTCCGTGAAATTAAAAAATATAATTATTTTTCTTAACTAACACAATTAAACCTTAAAATCCAAAATATATGCAATCCTAGAAATAGTTTTGTATATGAATGAAAATAATTTTAATAGTGTGATAGGTATACATAGACTGTATTTAAAAGCAGAATTTTCACTTGTTGAAGGGAAAAGTGCTACAATGCAAACCATTGGTTTGACCCAACTTTATTTAAAAACTTTACGTGTCACACCTTTCTGTATCTATAAAAATGAAATTCCAAATGTTATTATTCAACGATTTTTAATTGTTATTTAAAAATGGTTTTGTGCTGAAAATACACTTAGCATAAACTACAAAAAATTCAATGCCAATATCCCAACACCTGTAAATTAGTTCTCCCATTTTCTTATAAAAAATGCTCAATACAAGTGTAAATTTTAAAAATACGAGTATATTTCAAAAAATCACCATTTTGTTGTTCACCATTTTGTGAAATTGAGAAAAACAACAACAAAAACGTGAAGTAAACGTCAATAATTTTTTCAAAATTTTTATAAATAAAAATTTATTAATAATAAATAAAATAATTTATTAATATTTTGAACCAAATTTTATGTCTAAACTAAAAAATTACAATATTAATTTTTAATAAATACCTTTAATATTATAACTGTTAATAAAAAAATATTTATTTTGTATATTAATTTATACATTTTCGAAAAATGAAATATTTTGGTAAAAAAAAAATATATTCAAACTTTCAGACTTCACATGTAAAACTGTACTTGTTGATAAAGGTAAATCCAAGAGTATAGATGGCAATACAAAGGTATATAAATTATAATTATATAAAAATAATAAATGTAATTATGTACATACATTTACATAAATAATTATAATTTTTGATAATTATCGCTCTATATAGTTGCAAACTAAAAAATTATTTTTTTTTTTTATTAATATGTAATTAATTGTTTTTAATTATAAACGATGCTAGAATAAAGTTTTATGCTATTAATAATCAATTTTTAATATTTTTCAATTAAACTTACGGATAACATTAATTAAAATAATACGTTGACAAAGACAAACGAACGATTGAAACTATATAACATACAAATTAAAATAAATCAAGATATTCAAAATATTATATAAAATAACAAAAATATTATAAATTTTTTGCATAACTGGAATAATCATGGTCTAATTCATATATAACACGATTCGATTCGAATATTTACAATAATTACTTTCAAAATCCGTTCGATTCAGAACTTATGCGAAACACAATTGAATTACGTCAAAATGAATTAACAGAAATAAACAACACAATTTCAATATAGCAATAATATTAAATAACTCGAATATATATATATATTTTGTTTTTTCACTCCTAGGAGGAGCATAAGGCTAGTGCATAACATCATAGATATAGTCATGCCCCAGCTTCATTGCGTCATAGAGTTTTTAACTAGGTAGATGATTAGCCTGCCGCAGCTTCGAATATATATTTACAGCAATCATATTTTCATGTTGAAATATTTTTATTACAAATAATATGAGTTAAATACAAATTCGATTTTACTTAAATCTTCTTTAATATATATTAAAACAAAATTTATAAAAATCACATAAACTGTATATGAAAGACTTGTTTTCTATAATGTCAAGTATTCAAACATATTCGAAGACAATACAAAAGACTCCAAACCAGTGACACCAAAGACAGTATACACAATATTAATCATAGGGGGTTTTCGTTTAGTTCTACATTAGAACTAAAATTTCTAAATCGCAGCGTTAAGCAGTATGCACAAACTTTAGCTAAGTTTGTTTTGTTTACACAGTCTACAAATTCTGAAACTTCTAAGTAATCAGTCGTTCGAAAATAACTTACTTTAATAACCCTTGAATCTGCAATTTTGAAATTTAAAAGAAAAATTTCATGAGGCAGCGCCAAAATTTATACTAGAAGTCTGCGCTACATTT